AAGCAGGGGGGGTGGGGGCGGGGAACGGGGGGTGTTGGGGGCCAAGGAGGGAGATGGGGGGAGGCCGGGCACTGAGTGTTTGTAGGGTTGCCAAGTGCCCGGCACTTTTGCCTCCTGGCCAGGGAAAAATTCAGAAAATACCAGACATCTTAGGTGTCCGGTATTCTCTGAATTTTTTTTACGGGACAGGAGCTGAAAATACTGGACTGTCTGGGTAAATACTGGACACCTGGCAACCCTACCAAGGAGGGAGATGGGGGGAGGCCGGGCACTGAGTGTTTGTAGGGTTGCCAAGTGCCCGGCACTTTTGCCTCCTGGCCAGGGAAAAATTCAGAAAATACCAGACATCTTAGGTGTCCGGTATTCTCTGAATTTTTTTTACGGGACAGGAGCTGAAAATACTGGACTGTCTGGGTAAATACTGGACACCTGGCAACCCTACTCCAGCCTGAGGTGCCCTCTGGACTCACCCTGACGCAGCGAGAGGCAAGAGCAGATCGGAGAGTCCGGGAAGATGAGCAGGGTGGATTCCCGTGCAGGAGGGCTCAGAGGCAGCCTGACCCCAGCGAAGGGGCCGAGCTGAGCCGGAAAGGCCTACGCTCCCGATCGAAAGCTTGTGGTCGTGAGCTCTCCAGCCCAGATGCTCCAAAGAGAAAGCAAAGCCGGCCCGCTGCTGTGCCCAGCCCGGCTGTGCTCTCTGGCTCACCGTGAGCATCTCAGAGAGCCGCCAGGAACGGGGCCGCTGCCTGGCCCCGGGGGCCCATGGCACTCCCTGCTGAGGCTTTCCCCTTCTCACTGCAGAGAGACCCAGCCACACGGCCCGTCTCTGGGCTCCTCAGCCCCACATCCTCCCTGCAGCAGGTGGACAAGCGGCTGCGTGCGGGCTGGAGCGTTTCCTTCAAGCAGCTTTCCTTCACTCACCTTCAGGTTCCACGGGCTGCTCCGCTGCCTCCAGTCTGCCCCGTGGATCCGGCGAGCTGCTCCCAGAGGAGCGGCTGAGTGGGGTACTGGCGTGGCGAGGCGTCTCTGGGCTCCTCAGCCCCACATCCTCCCTGCAGCAGGTGGACAAGCGGCTGCGTGCGGGCTGGAGCGTTTCCTTCAAGCAGCTTTCCTTCACTCACCTTCAGGTTCCACGGGCTGCTCCGCTGCCTCCAGTCTGCCCCGTGGATCCGGCGAGCTGCTCCCAGAGGAGCGGCTGAGTGGGGTACTGGCGTGGCGAGGGCGAGGTACAGGAATGTCCTTCAGGCAGTTCTCGAGCCCTTGCAGCGGTGAATGCTCCGTCCTGACTTCTGTTCAAACACCAAGCCCCGTCAGCGCCCTGCCCGCTGCTAGGGGACGGCTCACTCCACTCCGCACGAGCCTGTCTGCGGTAATATCCGCCGCCCAGCCCTACCGCCATGGTCCAGGCTGGGGCTCTGGCCATGAATGCTAGGTGCCCACAGGGACTTGGAGACATTAAGCTGAGTTCATCCCGGGAGTAACACCGCTCAAGTCAGCATTACAGCCCAAGCACTGTTACAGGATGGGGTCCCACTGGCTAAGCAGCAGTTCGGCAGACAAGGACCTGGGGATGACAGTGGATGAGAAACTGGACAGGAGTCAACAGGGCGCCCTTGTAGCCAAGAAGCTAACAGCATATTAGGGTGCATTAGGAGGAGCACTGCCAGCGGATCTAGAGAAGTGATTATTCCCCTTTATTCGTCACTGGTGAGGACACATCCAGTTTTGGGCCCCCCCACTATAGAAAGGATGTGGACACATTGGAGAGGGTCCAGCAGAGGGCAACCAAAATGATTAGGGGGCTGGAGCACATGACCTATGAGGAGAGGCTGAGGGATTTGGGCTTTTTTAGTCTGCAGAAGAGAAGAGTGAGGGGGGATTTGATAGCAGCCTCCAACTCCCTGAAGGGAGATGGAAGATGGAGAAAGGTGGTTGTTAGTGGTGACAGAACAAGGAGCAACAGTCTCAAGTTGCAACAGGGGAGGTCTAGTTTGGAGATTAGGAAAAACTATTTCCCTAGGAGGGTGGGGCAGCACTGGGATGGGTTCCCTAGGGAGGGGGTGGAATCTCCATCCCTAGAGGTTTTGAAGTCCCGGTTTGACAAAGCCCTGGCTGGGATGACTGAGTTGGATTGGTCCTGCTTTGGGCAGGGGGCTGGACTGGATGGCTCCTGAGGCCTCTTCCAGCCCTGGGATTCTCTGACATACAGCAGCCTTTGTGGTGAAGAAATCCAATCTGCCTGGATTCAGAAGAGCCAGGCGGGAGGACGCGGGCTTACCTATAGCTAGAGAACCTTCCCCAAGCCCAGAGAGGAGAGAACCCTCCACAGCTGCCCTGGCTTGCACCCCACACTGCGGTTGTTTATTCGGGGGTAACAAACCACCCCGCACACCCATGGGGTATATCACAGGCTACGCACCATCCCCACCATGACAGAAAGCAACGTGGGTGCCACTCACAACCAGAGTGACTCTGCTCCCCTTGGCAGAGAGAGAGGCCGAGGCAGTTCACAGAAATCTGATCAGACGCTAGCGAAAGCGGAATCCGTTTAGTGACAGCAGGGCTGGGGGAGAGCAGCCCAGAACCCCAGAGGGTTTAAGTGGGACCCTGGGCATATGCCAGGCCCCTGCGGCGGGAGCAGGGAGCGAGCCAGGCCCGCCGCACAGGAGTATGGGCAGCCCTGGAATAGAAGGGACCCCGGGCATTACTCTGGCCTTGGCTGAAACTCCCTGTCACACGATCCTCATGGCTGTGCCCTGGTTCCAATGTGGATGCTTTACTGACCTTCGGCAAGGGAGCTCCATGCCCCGGCCCCTGGCCTCCCCTGGCCCGTGTCTCTCTGCGGGCTGGCCAGGGCGATGCTGGCTGGCACACGGGCGCCGTGAGGGCCAGTGACAGGGATGTCCCTTAGGCAGTTCTCTAGGCCTTGAAGGGGCGAGGTGCTGGTGCCGACGTCTGTTCAAAAGGAAAAAGCCAAAGCTAAGAGCAGCAGGAGCAACTTCCTCGTCTCACTGAGCCTTGTAAAGCCCACCGGGCCTTAGAGCCGCTCTCGGCCTGGGAAGACACTTTGGTCAGTGCTCGCTTTTGAAGAGAAGCATTCTCCCTTACGACTGGCTGAGGGGCAGTGAGAGCAGGCCGAGCACGGGGGGAACATGACATACAGGGAGGTCATGAATGGAAGCTGCAAAGGAAAGCGAGGAAAGGGTTACGCTAACCTTAAGCTATTCTGCACCTGAAGGAGGGGGCTTTGGGCATTGAGCCAATGAAATGCAGCTAAAGAATTTCAAACTGGGGAAAGCAGTCTCCTTTGTTAGAGAGAGGGGAATCTTTCAAATGGAGGGAAGAAATAAACTCCCCCAAAACAGATCCTCTGGGTTCATCAGAATGTGTGAGTAGAAAAAAGTGTAGGTAATCTGTTAGGTTTTATTGCTTTCCTTGTTTGGGGTTTGGAAATTATGTCTGAGCTGGTTAATTGTCTTTTTTTATCCTCTCTCTCTCTTGTAACCAAGATCTAATTCCAGGGAGAATCCCTGAGTTTTGTTTCAATTCCTGGCTTTTTAACACCCAGTCATTTACTATGCTTGCAACGATAGTCTTGTTTTAATAATAAAAGTATTTTCGTTTTTTATTCGGTTAACCGGTATTGGTTGGTCTTTTGTGTCCTTAAACTTAAGTGTCTGGCTGCAGACACATTAACAGAGGGAGCACTGGTTCATTGTTCTCTGCAAAAGTGTTCTTGTTCATTTTCCAACTCCTTGGGGAAAGGAAGTTGGGGGGGAGGGAGGGAGGGAGGGTTGCCCTCAGGGAAGAGATTCCAAGGGATTTCTTCTCTGGAAAAGGAAATGTGTACACTTGGTGGTGGCAAAATGACGGATTTCAGGGGAAACAGAAATCAGGAAAACTTGTTTTGTCTCTGGGGACTGCAGAGACAGGATCTGAAAGTGTTTTTATTTTTTTATCCTCATTACCTTGCAATGCCAGGTTGGGGATTTCCCTTGTGACAAGGGAGCTGTGTAACATTCACAGACCGTGTTCTATAGGATGCTGTTACCTATTCTCTGGGACATAAAAGGACCTAGGCAGGCCTAGGGATTTTGCCCATGTACACCAGGGTATCGGGCCCCACAAGTGTCTTGACCCAGGACAGAGACAGCCTGTGCTAGGGCCAGGAACAGACCCTACCTCTCCTGGGTCCCACCCCAGTGTCTTCCCCACCATGCTGGCCTGCCTCGCCAGGACCCCAAACCAACTCAAAGCCCTAGAGGAGCCAGGGCCAAAGGATGCAACAATAGTGAGCACAGGGGGCTGGCCTAGATGACCTCACGAGGTCCCTTCCAGTCCACGATTCTATGGGCAAAGTAGGAAAAACCCTGCTTGGGAACTTAGGGTTTGGTGCAAGATGTGTATTTTGCAGGCGAGGTTGACAGTCTGTGTTTTAATGGCAATAAAGCTTTAACTTTTTGAAGCTCACAGTCTATCGCCACCAAATGTTTATTGTCTGGCACTTCTGCCTTGTCATTTGGTGCAATTGTGAAAAATGTAAATGGCTAAAAAAAAAATGCTTAAAAATAAATGGACATCTGTCAAAAATAGAACCCCCCCCCAATCCTGGATTCTACCACACCCACTTATAACCGAGTATAGCATCGTCTAATGATGTGCCAATCACCACCTGTATCACAGCTGTTTCCTGCCAGTCACATCTGTTCCTCATTTAACAACCCTTTCGAACCATTTAAAAATGGAATCGTAGCAAAAGAGTGACCAGCCAGGATGCTTACGTGCCATGCCAGGGTAGGAGATGGGTAAGGGTTTGTCATGGGGGTTTGAGTGAGGGATTCTGGGACCTTCCAACAAGAGACAGATGGTGTAAGAGCTGGTGTGTTCTCAGGCTCACCCTCTCCGCACCAGCCCCACACCACTCCTGTCTGCGGTTCCCTCGGTGACGCATCTGCTCCTGCGTGGCGCGCCGGCCTTGGGGAAGCCCAGGGAGGACTGAGAGGTGTTTCCTGCAGGCAGCTCGCCAGGCTGAGGAGGGGGCTAGCCCCTAGCATCGCCTCTGCTTGAGAAACATGGAGACACCCGCTGCCACTCAGGGTCAGTGGCCACAGGGCTCACCAGCCTAC